TCCTCATTGACGATTTTATTTCTTAGCATTGGCGCCAAAAAACTGGTGAAATTTCTGGAAAGTTCAGAATATTTTTTTAAACAATATTTAAGTTCTAAAAGGTTTTATGTTCTTTTAGCAATTTTTATGCCTTTTTTGGTTGTGTTTCTAATAGTTATTAGCTCAAATGTGAATTTATAATCACAGCTGCAAGAAGGGCCGGATTTAGATGAAAAGAGGCCGTAGGCTATTTCACTTATGAGGCCCTTTCACCTCCCTTTTTTAAATTTGTAAGTTACATGAGAGATAACAAAATACATCATTACTGTGATATACACTGAAGTGACAAAAGTCATGGGATAGCAATATGCAAATTTTCAGATGGCAGTAGCATCGCGTAGAACAGGTATAAATGCGCAGTGCTTTCGCAGAGCTTTCATTTCTGTTCAAGTTATTCATGTGAAGAGGTTTTGACGTGATGATGACCGCACGACGGGAATTAACAGACTTTGAACGCGGAATGTTAGTTGGAGCTAGACGCATGGGTCATGCCATTTCGGAAATCGTTAGGGAATTCAACATTCCCAGATCCACTGTGTCAAGAGTGTGCCGAGAGTATGAAATTTCAGGCATAACATCCCACCATGGACAGCGCAGTGGTCGACCGCCTGCACTTAACGACCGAGACCGGCGACGTCTGCAAAAAGTCGTAAATTCTAACAGACAAGCAACACTGCGTCAAATAACCGCAGAAATCAATGTGGGACGTACAAGGGACTTGTCTGTTAGAACTGTGCGGAGAAATTTGGCTTTCTTGGGCTATTCCAGCAGAAGACCGACTCGAGTGCCTTTACTGACAGAACGACATCGCTTGCAGCGACTCTCGTGGGCACGTGAGCATATCGGTTGGTCCCTAGATGAATGGAAAACCGTGGCCTGGTCCGATGAGTCACGATTTCAGTTGGTAAGAGCTGATGGTAGGGTTCGAGTGTGACGCAGACCCCACGAAGCCATGGACCCAAACTGTCAGCAAGGCACTGTTCAAGCTGGTGGTGGCTCCGTAATGGTGTGGGCTGTTTTTTCATGGCATGGACTTGGTCCTCTAGTGCGACTGGACCGAACATTGACTGGAATTGCTTATGTTCAGCTACTTGGAGATCACTTGCAGCCATTCATGGACTTCATGTACCCAAACAACGATGGGATTTTTATGGATGACAATGCGCCATGTCACCGGGCCACAACTGTTCGCGATTGGTTTGAAGAACATGCTGGACAATTCCAACGAATGATCTGGCCACCTAGATCGCCCGACATGAATCCCATCGAGCATTTATGGGACATCATCGAGAGGTCTGTTCGTGCCTAAAATCCTGCACCATTAACGCTTTCACAATTATGGATGTCTATCGAGACAGCTTGGCACAATATTCCTGCAGAAGACTTCCAACGACGTGTTGGTCCATGCCACGTCGAGTTGCTGCACTTCGCCGGGCGAATGGAGGGCCGACACGATATTAAGAGGTATCCCATGACTTTTGTCACTTCAGTGTATATATCAATACGTTAAAGGAAACATGTTGTGATGGGTACTAATCTTTATAAAAAATGTAGCACGGATAATAAATAAATAAAAAGTCGAGGATACTTATTTGGACATTTATTCTCAGCACCCTATAGAGTACTTGTAACAATAACTAATCAAACATAACACACAACATTTACAAACAAACAAAATTCAAATAATAGAAATCTTTGACTACGAAAATAAAATATTCTATAAAAATTATCATATTTTCTATCAAACTAAATTAAATATATTCAATACTTTGAAGATTAAAGCAAATTCAATTCAGATAAATTTGATATGAATAATTGAATGTAATTATTGTTATGAGATTTGTCCTAAAAACTTACAATAAGTGACATACATTGATAATCATTTTTCTTCTTCAATGGCGCAACAGACCCATGATGGGCCAAGGCCGTCTGCTTACTGGCAGATTCCTAAATATGAGGTGTTTTCTTTTTACGGGGTAGAGTTGCCAGCCCTACGCCTAATGCTGTAATGTCGTATTAGACTGGGATCTACGGTTATAAAGTGAAATTCCGAGCCGTTACAAACATGCATGGTACGGCTGATACTCGAAACATTGATAATTCACATAGTGAAATTAAACATTATAATAATGATTAATGAGATTTAAGTAAATGTAACTTCCTACTGACAATTATTTGCAGTTGTGGATTAAGTTTAGTAGTGAAAATTATCTTCAAATGTTTATCAGATAACTTGGATCTGTAAATTTTTTTTGTATATTTAACTTTGGAGAATGTTTTTTCACACAGATAAGTAGTTCCGAAAGCAGAAAAAAAGCTACGTAAGGCCCCCTTGTCGTAGATACCATCACTCGCAGTCTTGTTCCCAAATGAAAATTTGCGAGTAATTGAAAATTGAAGTTGGTATGATTAGCTAACTCGGTCTTGACTCTTAGGACTTAATGTAGTAGTCAGTATGCTATCAGGCTAAAATTTTGGGGACCCCTGTTAGATATAATGAATACTTGGAGACAAGGATCTTTATATAATATTTAAAGATTTAATTTAATTTTTTGGCATTTTTCTTTTGAGTTTTTTTTTTAGTAAAGGAGTATTTTAAAAATATACCGACCTTTAAATAAAATGACCCAATTTCTGACCTATAATACGCAAATTATACGCTAAAATATTTTTAAAGTTTGTGGTGCGGATTATTAGTTTTTTCGTACAAATCGTGGCCATTTTTTTCCGGAAGTTTAAATCAATTCTACAATATCACAGATAATAAGTGAAATCGCGCACTACACAGATAAGAGTGGGAGAAAAATAAACAAACTTCTTAAAATAAAGAAAGAATCATAACAGTTATGGAGGATTTAAGGGAAGTGCAGTTATACAAATGCAAACAAAATATGACGTGCATATTACAACGACACGTGATAGTGGTTAAAAAAAGCATGTGACGAAGTTATAGATATGAACTAAAACCGCTTTACAAAAAGCCAAAGTGATACATATTAAACTATGATACTGAGTACAGTTTTATTCTCAATAGCAAATATGAAGATTACAAATAGAAAAAATGTAGTCTCTGGTTTCCACCATGATTCTTAAATGTACGTCTTCTTTCTTGTTTCCATTATCTTAAATTTATAACATTTTTTGTATAAATATATTTTTTGCTTTTAAAAACTGAAAAAACGTTTAGTTAGTTTTATGACATGGCTGTGAAAAATTTCCGGCTCCCCACTCCTGATTCTCCTCCTCGATTTTTATACCGAATCCCGACTCATAACACTTGGCTCCTTTCCTTAATTTTATATACAATAATATTTACTAATTTATTTAGAAGAATATATGAAATAAATTCAATGACTTTTATTACAAAAGTAAACAAAACATGACGTGCATCCTACAAAGGCATGCGCAACTTGCAACTACAACTTGTTTATAGAAATACATATATATTCTATAAAAATAACAATACCAACTTAACAGATACTGAATTATTATAGAATGACTCAAGATACTCAAAAGAAAACTCTACATTTTAAATATAAAGATGCCAAATTTTTTATACATTATGTTATATACTTACTTAATAATAGAACACGTTTTTATAAGCCTCAGTGCTGAGAAAAGTTTCTCAATATTGACTTGATATGCCATTAAAGCAGTAACTTTGTTACTGATTATATTATTGAAGGATACTATTGAATTGCAGACTCAAAATTTGCCTTACAGGCTCTTAATACATGTTTAAGTATGAACTTGAACACTACTACTTTTAGGACAAATCCACTGCTTGCACAGAATGTGTATTTTGCAATGCTTCCCTGCTCATGTGGATTTGGAATTCAATGAAATTGCAGATTCTTTGACAAAGAATGCCAGAAGTCTGGATCAGATTGCCATTCCTACTTCCCTTGTAGATTTGGTTTGGTTTGGTTTGTCGCTCTACGGTCATCTTGTGCGCACGAGGGCTAAACAGACCGGGGCCTACAGTTTAACGTCATGACTTTGACATGACTCATGACTTTTTAAAAACTGCTCTATTCCGACTCCTCACCTCAGATGAAAATATACTTTTTGAATATTTAAGGTTCTTGATTGGGTATATAAACTTTATTGTTTTATTTTATGCGAATGAAACATTGGATTTTTTAACAAAGATATATAAGACACATGCTCACTGTACATGTGTGAGAGGAAATTGCTCAGAGAAAACTTTGACGATCCCGTGGATTTGCATTTGCTTATTTTGAAGACACAGATGATGCTAAAAAGTTAAAGAGCTGTACAATGATCAAGAAATAGATGGACGAATGATTCTTGATGATTTCTCAATTTTTAAATGATTTCTCAAGAGCTCACACTCCGTCTCCTTCTTCTTCATTAGCGCAACGGCTCCATGGTGGGCCAAGACCGTCTGCCTACTGGCAGATTCCTAAACATGAGATGTTATCTTTTTACGGGGTAGGGTTGTCAGCCATGCGCAAACCCCATACGCAGACCTGAACCTACGGTTTAAAGTGGATTCCGAAGCATTACAAACATTCAGGGACGGCCTGGAGCTGACACTCCTACTCCTGGAAATTTATGTCGGAAAATCTACATAACCAAAATCTGAAGGACATAGATAAAAAGCCAAAATAAATATTCAGAAAATTAAATTAGTAAATAAGAAAACCTATTGTTTGTTGTTGTTTCTTATCCCACTTGGCTGGCCAAGCCCACGAGCCCATATGTACTCATGATTGAAGGGGAAGGAAGCAGCTTCTGCTGTAATGGAGCACCCGTAGGTAGAAGCCTGACTTTTGCTCCGTGACGCTCTTACAGTCATAGGAGACCGGGACCTACGGCTTAAAGTGGATTCCGAACCACTACAAACATCCATGACACCGCCGGGATTCGAACCCGAAACCTGTGGCACCGAGCGCCAGAGCGTTAGAACACTCGGCCATTCAGGTCCCAAATTTGCCAACGGCACGCAGTGTTCCCAGGTGGTCACCCACCCAAGTACTGACCGCGCCCAATGATGCTTGACTTCGGTGATCTAACGAGAACCGGTATATTCAGCACAATGCGGCCGTTGGCTTATAAGAAAACCTACTATATTAAAAGGAAATGTTAAAAAGTGTAGAATTGGTGATATCGTTGCCATCAAAAGAACACATTTCTGAACTGGTTTGAAGTTGAGTCCAAAATACCAAGGACCAAATCGTGAACTGCAAGCATTCATGCTTCATAATATCGCTACGACGTAAGGAAAGTCGGTCAACCGAGCCTCATCATTGCGTCAGCTGACTTAATGAAACATTGGCCAATTCCGGGGTCGGAATAGGGCAGGATGACCAAAATGTAGGAATTCCTTGCTGCTTTATTGGATTATAGATAGCATCACTACTCTGTATTTTAGTAGATTATAATTTTTTTGGCAATGGAGCCGTAGTAATTATTATAATAGTTGATGAATGGCGTCTTGCCGAAATTGCTTATATTCAAATGCTAACATTTTGATAACTATATATTATTTCTTAAAAACGCCTGGCTTTAACTAATCATTAGAAACTCATCTCTTTTTCTGCCTTATTATATGTTTATCTCTTCATTAATAATAATTTATTAATTTAAAGCTTCGCTATAAATTATATCGCGTGCCTTTCTTTCGTTAGCATATACATGCACATTTGTATTTAATCTCACTCTAGATAATGATACATTTGATACTACTTTTTCATTGGCGTGACAGGCCCATGGTGGTCAAGGCCGTCTGCCTACTGACAGATTTCGAGATAGATGTTCTCTTTTTTTACTGGATAGGGATGTAAGCCCTATGCCATCAGGAGCCTGATGGTCGAGTGGCTAGCGCTCTACCTCTCGGTACCACAGGTATCGGGGTCGAGTCTCGGTGGTGCCATGGATGTTTGTAGTGGTTCAGAATCCACTTTAAGTCGTAGGTACCCGTCTCTCATGACCGTAGAGCGTCACAGAGCCCAGTTAGATTTCCCACCCACATCATTCCCAAACTGTAAAGAGGCAACTCAATTCTAGGAGTGGTGTAGTAGTAGTAGTCATATGAGACCGAATGACAAACGGTTTAAAGGTCCAAAAGATTCCAAAGAATTAAAGCATCTATGGTACCGCCGGGACTCTAAACCAAAACCTGTGGCACTGAGGGCAAGAGCGCTAGTCACTCAGTTATCAGCTGCCATACATCTAATTGCCCATGTGAAAAACAAGGTGTACGAACATCTGTTCTACTAAATTTTTGTCCTTGAGCTTTCCTTATCGTCATTGTACAAGAAAGACCAACAGGATGTTGAGTATTTTCAACTTCGAATGGGAAATTATTTGGAATAAGAGTTTGCCAGTGATTCTTTCCTTTCCCAATCCAATTAATATAGTAGCTTCTAAAACATTTTTTGCAACTTAATTACTCGTAATCTTGTACCCTTACAAAATACGGTTGTATTTAAGTTTCTCGTTAATTTTATGCGATGGAATTTAGATCTTAGTATGTTAGATATTGACTAAATCTTAAATACTGTGGAATATCCAACATGTATGGTTTTTTTTTTCATTTAGAAAATGTTAAAAATGTTATGTTAATGAAAGTTATAAAATTAAAACCATTTGGTTAATTTTCAAACTGTATAATGACATGAAATTTTAACTAATGAAAATTGTTTGTTTCACTATAAGAGATTAAATAGTATTTATGAAAAGTTTTATTCTTGTGCTTTAATAACGATTGTAAATATAAATGTGTTCCCCGCATTTCATCAATCTATAGCAAGACATTCGATAAACCTCTATCTCACGTTAATGCTTAAGCATTTTTTAAAGTAATTAAATAAAAGGATTTGATATTTGATTAGTATATTTTATTATAACATGAGTGTAGATAAATAAAAAAAATGATAGAAAACAATCAAAACTTAATAAATAATCTATTTTTAAAACGTTTATCTTAATAAAAAATTAATTAATAATAACATTTTTCTGATTTCTATTTTTATCTTTTCCAGAGTTTTTATTATTAATATTACTATTATTTTTATTATATTCGTATTAAATAAATTATTCATTTTTATACTTACATACGCTTTTTAATGTCAATTGACAGAAACAATTGATAAATATTTAAATATATATATATATAGGCCCATGAGAACGAGACGAACCCCATGAGGACTTTCACGGCTTTCACGGGCAAGTGCACTGAACTTGCTTGTAGTATAGAGAAATTCAAGAAAACCTATATTAAGCAGTTAGCTGAAAGATATGAAGTACTTACATATGTTATCACAAACACAACGGAAGTCTTTCTTTTCTGAAATACTAACGGCAAAACGAACCACTAGCGGATCCTGTCCTACGTCCTCATACCAACTACCTTCTCACTTTTCAAGAGGACAAGATGGAAAACATTGAAAATAATATTACTCTGTATAAATTTTTGGCTGTGATTAACTGTCATGGTCACTGATTTAAAATTTTAGTTTTTTAGACAATCCCCCAAGAGATATAATACTTGTGGGTGGATTGTGAGAATACCTCAGATGCCAATTTTAGGAAAGTTTCCATCAAGTTGGCCAAACATTAAAAAAGCAAACAAGCAACCAGACATTTCAAGTTGTGACTAATTGTCATGATCTCTGATTTAGAATTTGACTTTTTTCTAGACGTATAATATCTGTGGGTGGATTGTGAGAATGTCACAGGTGCCAATTTTGGGAAAGTTTGTATCCATCAAGTTGGTCAAACATTGGAAAAAAATCTCCAAGCAACAAATACTCTGTGTTAATTCCTAGCTGTGATTAACTATCATGATCTTTGATTTAAAATTGAGTTTTTTGGACAATCCCTCGAGAAATATAATATCTATACGTGGATTTGAAAATGCCTCAGATGCCAATTTTCCAAAATTTGTTTCCATCAAGTTGGCTAAACATTGGAAAAAAAGCCCCAAGTAACCAATACTCTGTGTTAATTCCTAGTGGCTTACACTATGAAGATTCTCTGTCAATACAGACAAAAGTAAAGCCATCATTTTCAGAAAAGGTCATGCTAGATCTCCATATGAAGATATTTTCCTGTTTGATGATCCGATACAATGGGTCAATCAAGTCAAATATCTTGGCCTAATTCTCGACAGCAAATTAACATTCCAGAAACATCTTCACACTGTAAAGACAAAATGCTGGAACAAATTACATCTTAGTTTGCCGTTAATAGGAAAATATTCTACTTTATATTTAAAAAACAAAATTCTTTTATACAAACAAGTTCTTAGACCAATCCTGACTTATGCAGCACCCATCTGGGGCCTTGCTGCAAAAACAGACAGAAACAAAATCCAAGTTATCCAAAATAAAATTCTTAGAATAATTACGGGAGCTCCCTGGTTCGTTCGAAATGACGTGCTGCATCATGACCTACAAATAGAATCAATAGACGATCCTATTGCGAAACTTTCAAGAAAGTTGTTTCTAAATATCAAGAACCATAAAAATAATTTAATTAAAGCTCAACTATTCTTCGCCCACAACGAAGGTAAATACCATTATCCATATTACACTACAGGATGGAATCACGACCTCAAGCCTCCCTAATTTCTTCTATGATCCATCTTCAATACTACTCTTCGGTTCTAAAAAATCTCCTATCGTCCTCTCTTCTGCCTTGGCAGTGTGTACTGCGGAACTATGTTAAAAAGAAAAAAAAAACATTCCATTTCTGAAAACATCAAACTCTACCCTGCAGTAACAAACTTTATTTCCGATCTTCAGTTTCAAATGTTGTTCGTATGTTTTCTTAAAGTTTTTATTTTTTATTTTTGTGATTGTATATTTGTATATTTATAATTCCTATTTATTTTCATTATATATGTGTTTATATGTCTGTCTGCTATGTATTTACGTATTTATATGCTTCTATTGGACATTTATGTATTTTGATATTGCTTGCTTGTCATCTCCTAATTTATCCGCCCCCCCCTTTATATATATATATATATATATATTTTAACTTCTTTCTATCCTATTAACTGTTTGCTTTAAATTTTTTAATTCCTGCTAATTCTGTGATACTTTGTTTTTTTTATATTTGAATTCTGAGCAGATGTGCACTACGTGCACAGGTACTCGACTCTCCTATCCAATCTAGTAGTTAATTCCTAGCAGTGATTAACTGTCAGGGTTGGTCACCTTGATCGAAACACCTTGTAGTTTTTAGACGACCCCCGAGTGACAATCATGTCAATCAGCCTATGATCTATGTTTCGAAAGTGTCCAAAGTCGAGCAGTCTTACCGGATCTAACCCTGTTCCAGAGTAGAAACCATTCTTCGGACAGCAATCATTACGAAATCGTTGACACACATTGCACCAGGCGTGCGAAGAAATTAATATGTAGTTAAAAGTTAGCCGCCGGGTTCTGGTTAATCGAGTTGTTTTGCAATTAATCGACAGGAATCTATTCAAATGAGGTCGGTGGATTGGAGTTTGGATCTCGAGCTGACGGGATTTCGATGATTATTTACTTCACTTCCTTATTATTGTATACATAAAAAATATTTGTATCAGAAAGAAAAATATTTAATTTCAAACAGTAGAACTAAACTTTCTTTTTCTTGCAGAAAACACAACTAAAAATCTCTGGAAGCTTAGTAAGATTAAATCTTCATTTAGAAGATTAGAATTAGATTAGAACGATATAGATTTGATTAGAACGAGTAAATCCTCATTTTTTTTTCTCCTATAGAAAACATATTATGATAAAAAATTAAAATCAAACTAATCAAAAATAAATGACGGAATTCATGAAAAAAATATTTATAAACATTATGTTTTCAAATTCATTTAACTATAGAAAGATTAACAAAAACAATTTTTTTTTGTTCTAATACAGCTGGCAAACACTTAGACAATTGTTTTCGATGCCTTAAGGCAAGCGCTACACCGACGTTACTCACTTAACACTACCCAGGAGGTGCGTGTAGCTTGAAGATAAGTTACGGACGCGGAGTAAAAACACCTCCTCAACGCTCTACGATCGTGTTAGACAGGCACATACGGTTTAAATTGGAT